TATATGTATATATAAAGACTAATAATAGTATGTTATGCATCGATAGCAGCAACAGCTTTTCCAGGTTCTGCAGTCATCTGAACAAAATTATAGACACTCAGCACATTCCATTAAAAAAAAAAAGAAAGAAACAAAGAAAAGAATAATATCCAGAAAACAGCAAAGTTCTGTTGCTGTTGTGGTACCTGGCACCATTTTTTCTATTAGCCTCTTAATCATCATCTGGAAAGAGAACATTCTAAAGTAATATCATTAAAAGTAGCTCTGATAAAGCACGGTCCCTACTATTTATCATAAAGCAGGTACTAGATATTTTACATTCAGCCTAGAGAGAAGAATTAAAAGAGAGGAACAAGGATAGGAGCAGTCTTAAGTTTGACCATATGATCAGAATTATGTTTATCATTAAAGCTGAGAAATATAAGCTGTAACAATGGCAATATCCCAGAACTTTGAGGAAGGTTTATCTTAGTTTTATAGGTATTCTGGCTACTCACTGTTCATATGTAACTGTATCGTGTGTATCTCTGTCAACACTTCCAGGATCCTGAAAAAGGATCAACCCCAGTCACAATAGAGTAGGAAATTGTGCCTACTACTGAGAAAAGCTTGAAGGTACTGGTAATACCTATAAACATTTATTCTACTTTGTTGATACTGTCCAAGAGGCTAGTGCAGAATATAAGTACAATAAAAGTCATTTCTTACTGACTTTTCAATAGTGTTTGCTGATCACCAAACTAACCAAAAAGAGCTTTTCAAGCCACAAAATATTCTTTTTTTTTCTTTCATTTTTTTCGTTAGGGTCTCCTATGACCCCACTCATGCCTACCTTACAGTATAGTAATTAAATCAAAGTCCACATGTAGGTGAGCTTGGACAAGTTGCTCAAGCTTTCTGTATCATTTTCCTTATCAAAGTAAGAATATCATAGTGACTGCATATCGAAATTGTTGTGAAAATTAAGGAGCTATGTGAAATCTTAAAAGCCTGCTTATAACATAAATTCTGTGTGGCATTAGCTATTGTTTTCAGAGCTAGATTCATAGTCATATGCTTGAGTGACACCTTATGCATACCTCTTGCACAGCTCTCATCACTGTGCAGACTTTGTATCTTCTTTCTATATCTTTCCCTCTGAGTTGGAAGGTCTTTAAGTGCAGGCTTTATATTCAATGTACTCTTGAATTTTGATCATAATGACTGGTACTAACCAAGTTGGTGAATCAATAAATTCATGTGAGAAAAACATTGCCAATTCTCTTGTGTTTTCTAATATAAAAAGGATACATTATTGTTCTAAAATTCCTGTAAAACTTAGGAAATAAGTAAAGGAATCCAAAAGTCATTCCCAAGTTCCTAGGTGCAGGCCAACAAGAGGAAAGGAGAGTGCTTCAAAGTATAATCTGGAAGTTGCTTCAGCTTTGTTTAAAAATCTCAAAATATTACACTGATTAAACTGCTTCATGACCTCATTGAAACCCTTCAAGCCTTAATTAATGTTGGTAAAGTGTTTTGCGATCTTCAGATTAGAGGCACAAGAAATGTTAAAGGATAATTATTATTATAACTGATATCATCTTAAATGACTGCAAATAGTTTGCTTCACCTGAATTTGCTAATTAAATCCTAAATATGACCATGTAGAAACATAAGCAAAATTCATATTTACCAGAGAGCTAATGCTGTATTATTTAGAAGGATGTAGGTATACTGGATAGTCAAATTTCCCTGCTGTGACAAAATATCTGAGAAAATTGATTTTAAATGAATTGATAATTTGGAATTTTTTAAATAACAGCTTTATTGAACTAAATATTTCATATTATACAGTTTGCAAACTGAAATGGTATGGCTCAGTATATTTTAGCATGCTGACAGAGTTGTATAGCCATGACCACAGGCACATTTATATCATTTTTTGTTATCTCAGAACAAAACACTCTCCCCACTAGCTATCACCTCCCAATCCACCCCTCCCCCTAAATCTAGGCTGCTACTGAGCTACTCTCCATTTTCATAGATTTTCCTATTTTGGGAATTGTTTTTTTCAAAATAAATTCTGCTCATAGCAGCAATAAAGACTTTAATATATCCAAAGAAAGGGAAATCCTGCATTATGAGCCTTCACACAATGTTGAAATGAAACTAGAAATCAACAGCAGAGACATATTTAGGATACAATTTCTCTCTCTCTCTCTCTCTCTCTCTCTTTCTCTTTTTTGTTTCATTTCATACTTTCTATATTAACTTTCTCAAATAAAGGAAACTATATGATGTCCAAGCTCACATGTCTGACTTAACTTTAAAGCTTCAAGGTACATCATTTTCCTATGGGATGTCTCAAGCTTATTTTTCTTTATGGGAGAGTAGTACTCTATTGTGTATAAATACCACTTTTTTATTCATTCATCTATTGATGGGCATATAGGCTGTTTCCAGGACTTATCTATTATAAATTGTGCTGCTATAAACCTGTGGAATGATATTTTTAACACTTTTGGGAAGATACCTAAAAGGGTAATAGCTGGGTCAAATGGATAATTTTTAGATTTTTTTTTTTTTTGTGGAAAGGGATGGATAATTATGGCTCATGGTTTCAAGGGTTCCCAGTCTATGTTCAGTCTATGGTCACTTGGCCTGGTTGCTTTGGGCCTAAGGCAGGACAGTACATGACAGTGGCAGGAACTTGTAGCAAAGGAAGACTATTCATATGATGGTAGCCAGAAATCAAAAAGAAAGAGAAGAGTGTCCAGGGTTTATATATCCTATCAAGGGCATTTTTCTAATAACCTCCTGGTACTTCCCAGCTCCTAAGGGTTCCACCACCTCCCAGTAGGCTGGGAACCAAGCCTTTAATATATGAGCTGTCAGGGGACACTTCAGTTCCAAACTTAACCACACAAATAAATATATCATTTTCAATGCAACTATGTTTTTAGAGGCATCACACCTTAAAATGACCTAGAAAGGAGTAGAAAGAGTGACGTCAACAGCATGCGCACAGGCTATGGGCCTCATTTCACTTGGCAGCTTGTCTTTATAAAATCTTTCCATAAACTATGGAGTCGGGAAGATTTAGGCAGAAGCACTGGCTCTATAACTTATTGTCTTTGTAATCTTGGGGAAATTACTTAGTGCTTCCCGAAATCTGTAAACTCCATGAGGAGTAGAGAGACTGGATGTCAGGTGCAAGATGCTCTCTCGCCCAGGGCATAGCATAAGGTTCTGCACACAGTATGTGTTTAATACGCATGTATCTTAATGTATGTGTGGCTGTATAACTATTCATATGAAACAGTTAAAATACAATATAACTCACATTTAAAAGATTGATCACCTCTATCTTTTGAAGTGCCATCATTCCATCATCTGCAATGACTTATTCCCCAAGAGTTCTGAATAACTGGATTTTACGGTACTGTTTCCATAACTAACAATTCTGATTTTGAAGGGCACTCGATCATGAAGTCATATCAAAGGCTTTGCTCATGATGCTCTGTTTATCTATTGCTGCATAACAAACCAGTTCAAAATTTAGTGGAATAAAGCATCCATCTTATTATGCTCACACTTCAAACAAGATAGAGCCAGAAGTTCTCTCATCCTTGCTTTGTTACAGCGAGGACCTCAACTCAGTTGGCACAAGCGCCTGGCTTAGCTGGGAAAGTTCAATGAAGGCCATTTGCCAAAAGTGTTTGCTCTCTCAGCTGCATTCTTCAATGTTTCCCTGCATTGTGTCTACTTAGGCTGACTGCCTAAGATGGGTTCTTAATTCAGAAGTCTGGCATCTAGTTTGGGTTGGATAACACAGCTGGGACTGGAAGGCTCATTCTCTTCTTCTCTCCCTTCATGCCTCCCCTTCACCTCACCAGCTGGAAATTCTCAATATGATGTTCTCATATGGTGGCAGCCAGAAATCAAAAAGAAAGAGAAGAGTGTCCAGGGTCTATATATCCCATCAAGGGCATCTTTCGAATAACCTCCTGGTACTGCCCAGAGAATGGTGTTCCCAGGGCAATTGACCTCTCCTGGGACAAACATTTCAGGAAGCACAAGCAAAAGTTGCACCAGTTCTTATGACCTCGTCTTAGAATGTTAGAACATTCTGCCACATTCTATGGATCAAGCAACTTGCAATAGGCATCCAAGATTCACAAGGAGAGACTTAGACTCTAGCTCTTAATGTCAGTAGTAGCAAAGAATCTCCTTCTAACTTTTATATTCATCATTAAGAAAAAAGTGACTGCCTCAATTCTCCAACAATTTGGAAACCCTCATGTTCTTTGTTGGATGTGCTTCCTTAGAACGGGTAGCTGCATGGTCCACTTGATGGTGTAAGGGAGTTGAGCTGTAAACTTGACTTGGCCACTTATTACCTGTGTGATGTTAAACTCATCCCTTAATCTCTCCTCTTGTGTCCTCATCTTTCTCAGAGGAAAATAATGTCCCTTTTACTCATATTGCTGAATTACTGAGAAGATCAGATAATGAAAGGAAATATGGACATTTAGAAATCCCATGTGAATGCTAGGTATCATCTGTAAAATGCAGGAGGGAAACTATGGCCACCAGGATTTCCAACTCTAATTAGGAAGAATTCACCACCTTCAATACCTGGATCCATTAAGACTGAAACGCATAGGATAGCAGAGATCAAATAGTAGTTCACGCAATTGACAGGTCCAAATTCAGCCTCAGAATTGAGGGGTTGGCCACAGCTGTGTCTGATTGTTCCTAAACACCTCAAGTTTCCCAGTTGTTCTGTATCTATCTCAAACAGAAAGATACATAAGGCAGAGTTTTTAGTACTGGGGATTGAACTTGGGAGCTTGCGCTTGCGAGGAAAGCAGCAGAACCACTGAGCTAAATCCCCAGCTCATAAGGCAGAGTTTTTGCCATGTATATAGTAAAAACATCTAAACATTTTATTATTTTTCATCTGTTTAAGTTTCTTGAATTATGAAAATGCATTCCCAATTATTTGCTCATTGTGGGAACAGAAGATGCTGACTGTTTAATCATTGCTAACAATCATCTGGGAGAAGGAGAATCATGTCTGAGGTTGGCATTTTGCAAAAACTAGTGAGCAGTTTCTGCAGTGATCTCTAAAGTCTTTGAGGGTTAAAGGTAGGGTCATGTTGTGTGTGGTTTTCAAAAATCTGGGTTTTCCCTTTATTTTAGGCTTCTAGATATGTTTATCATTTCTTTGAAAAGTTGTATACTTTAGGATGATTTTTAGAAAGGTAGAAGCTTCCTTGAACAATGTTTAAACCTGACCTTTAAACCAGTGAAGCAGGATAAGGCACAGAGGCAATGACAGCAGTGTACTAAGCAAAGTCCTTGTCATACAACTCTGATCTTCATTTCCTTTTGAAGACAGTGAGGTCAGCTTACTTGAATTGCAGCAAGTTTTAAATTCCATGGACTCTTTTCAAATATGTGAACCCTGTTGACTTGAAGCTATATAATTATCAACTAAATATAATTTGAAAATAAATGAGTTTGTCTCTAGCAAGTTTCTCCTATGATTCCAAGTAGTAAATCTTCTTTGAATCACTCATGATCTGAGACAAGTGAACAATGCTAACTTATAACAAACCTCCAGTGTATAGATGCTCCCAAGCATTCTTTAGTTCATGCCACTCTGTATACATCAAACTATCCTCATATCTCTTCTCCATTAAATGTTATGCCTACCTTTCAGGCTTAATTTTTGCTGGTATCTGACACGGGTCACCAGAGTTCCTTTCTTAAATTTTCCCTTATTTCATTCCTGAAATTCCTGAAGCTTAACCCTTCCATTTTTCATTCCACAGCTTTGTAAGGTTCTTCACAATCTTCCTTATTTGATTTTATTGGTTGTTATTTAAATATTTTTATATTACAATCCTCTTCTCTATATAGGCTTCCTGAAAGGTCTTCTCATGCTAAAAGCTTTAATAATCATCAATTAGACATACATCCAATAAATATCAAGTACCTTTTCCTCACCAAAGATCAAATCTAAATCTGCAGCCCAGAACTCTATGGTGATTTCTAGCTATCTGCATACCGTCAGTACCCCTTGCAGATAAAGACATGTAGAACTTGAAGCACAGGTTCTCCCCGGGGTTTCTTTCTTTCTTAGTGTGTGACTCCCAAACTAAATTCATCTTCCATCCCAAGAGTGACAATTGTGCGTCTTGTTTTCTAGCTCAAACAAGATTCAAAATTGGCCAATTGTGTATCAGTATGAGTCATCATGAAAGTGAGAGAGAAGGGGTGGGGGAGAGGTCAAGCTTAAGAGTACAAAGAAGATGAAATTATTATGTGTAAAACACTGATTCTACTATTTGTCACATATTAAGTATTCAATGGTTTTTAAGTTCTATTTATTAAATGGTCAAGCTTGAAACCAGGGTTTCACTTCTGATTTTTCAAAATGCTTGACCCTTTTGTAAATAAAACAAAACAAAAATGCCTGCTTTTTACATATTTTCTATCTAATCAGTTCTGACCTTGCCTTATTGCTAACTGGCTGAGGGTTCCATCTCATTTCTGTCTCATGCAACTAACAGGTCTCTCTAACATCAGCATCCCAATCTACCTTTCTTACAATTTCAGGAAATTATATGACAATGGACACTGCTGAATACACTGCTCTGTCTGATATTCGGCACAGGCTTCCAAAAGGCCGCTGGGAAAAAAGTACAAGCCCCTCGCTTGGTGTGCAATGCACTTCCGGATATGAGCCCTGCTTAACATTCCCAACTTGCTCCCTTAAACTGTAGGCTAAACAAATTCAACTATTTCCAGTTCCTTTGACACATGCAGCTTTGATGGGGAAACATCCCTCCTAAATTTACTCAATTTACTCTTGTCTCTTGCAGAATTTGTCTTGCAAATCGTCTTTTCATGGAAACTCTTTTTGGTCACCAAGATTGGATTAGGTGCTTGTTTGTGCTATACCTAGAGAGATCTGAGCTCTGTGAGGCCAAAACTACACTTCATCCAACTATGTATTCCTGGTGTCAGCCAAAAGATGTACACTGCATACACTTATGGAAGCAGTGAATGAATAGATGAAAATTGTACCATTCAACTGAATGCTATATAGGCAGTAACTGTAGCTATTACACCTGTAGAGAGGGAATTGTTCAGAATGTATTAGATTCTCCTAGAAGTGTGTGTGTGTGTGTGTGTGTGTGTGTGTGTGTGTGTGTGTGTGGAGGGGTGTATGGCCAATCTGTTATCTTCCTGGGACTCAGATGAACCTGCATATGCTTATAGAAAGTTGGGACTGTGTGACAAAACTGTGTTTTGTACTACTAATGAACATCTATAAGGTAGTATAGTTGTCAGGGAGTGTTTCTTAGACAGTGCTTCAAGAAACCCAAGATTTTAAAAAGTCATATATTTGACTGAGATGATTACATAAATTGGTATGTTATAAGTATGTATCAACTTGTAATGGGGCAGTACAAGAGTTTTCAGCATAGATATTAGTTTTCATAAAACATTATTTTAATTTTCATGGGCTAATGGATAGAAAAAGAAAGGAAAAAAGTTGTTTAATACATGAATGTCAGTTAAACACAAAGAATAGACCCAGTTACATAAAGATTCACCAGATTAAGGTTCATGTTATAGTAAAAAATTGGTGGAGCACTTTAATACCTATCACTTTAAAGACAAGAAAAAAAAACTTCCATGTCAGTGCAATTTCAGATTATAAAGATTTCACTTGCTTCAAAACAACATCAATTGTACTGCATTACCACGTTATTTTAGATATTTTTCCTGTTTTATTTAAATTGTAAGCTTATTTTTGCTTTATAAGAACTTTAAACATATAAATATTTAAGAAACTGTATAATAAAAATAACTTAGTATAATGCTAGAAACCTGAGAACACATCTGCTTTAAAATAATTTGCACATTATCCAGAATAGAAGATGACTATGTGAATGCAAAATGGATTAGGGTACAACAAGGCTGATTTAGGAGTAAAAGCTTCCATGTCAGAGGAAAATATTTTGCTTCTAAGCCTAACTTGTGCACATAAAGCCATACATGTGCACACATACACAAACACACTTCCGCACCCAAACACAACACATTCATAAATACACACAAAGTACAGTTGGAAACCTTCACACAAGTACACACACACACACACACACACGCAGCACACACTTAAACATATCTGGATTCATAGTGAAACACACGTGACACACAAACACATAAACCTCATAAACATCCCTGTACATAAAGAAAATGCACACTTCTACACCCAGGCTCAGATAAATGTACTACTGTATTTTCGTAAGCACGGGGCAGGGACAATAAATATTCAGAGAGAGCAGTTGCTCTAGAGTTTAGTTTAGTAGCTTTAAGAACAAATCTGAAGTCAGACTGCCAAGCTTCTAACTCCAGCTTGAACCCTTCTCTCTGAATAGCCTTGAAAATGTTTACTTAATGTTCAGTCCCTGGCTCTTCCGATCAGTAACTGGGAAAGACAGTGATAACTTAGCCACAGAGTTCTTTAGAAAATTAAACA